TTTAACTATGGAAATAGTTATGAAACTCAATAGCATCAGAACTAAGGTCACTTTCTAGCAAGCCTTAACTAAGGATAAAAGAACCTTTGTTGGGAGTTCTTAGTTATCTTGCTAATCCCTCATTGTAATCCCTTCTTAAACGACAGTACACGTCTTTACACCACAACATAGAAACTAGCCTCCCCACCCTCTCTGTCTTGGCACCATGCTTGAAGGGGTTGCTAGAGAAACTGATAATGAAATAATTGCAGAGAAGATGTACATAAGAAAAAACATGTGCATAAATGATACCGACTATAACCAAATGAATACTTACTTACAAACATTTTGTCTAGTCAATAAATGCCTCATTTTAAGAAAAATAAATTATAAAAATCTTAAATAAATCAGGGACAATTACTCTCAATGCAGATCTACCACAGGGCACCTCTGTGCTTCATAAATAAATGCACCCAGCTTCAGAAAGGTTTTGCTATAAGTGAAGCATGCCTGTTCAGAAAGGAATACCGTACCAAGGTTTTTAAAAAAAAATCTATAATGCATTGTCCATTGTATTTCAGCACTGTCTCCTTGTGTTTACAAAACAGTGCTTTCTACTACCTCCAGCACAGGTCTTTCAACGATCTCTTCATTTTCTTATAGAGGAGAAGGGAAAGAAAAATTTAGTAACATTTTTGATTCCCACAGCCATCCAATCATTATCATAATTTTCTGATGCTATAGTAACAAATATGGAAATGAGTAAATTCCAGTATTGTTTTTTAAAGAATGAAAAGTTTTTCTAGTGTACCTAGCTATACCAAAAACCGTAATTCCTTCTCTTCCTTTGTATAAAGAATCTAATAAAATAGGTTCAAGCTTTATATTTCTTTTAGACTATATTTTGTATTTTCCAGAGGAAAAAATAAAAACTATAAAAAGAGACAGGGTATTGTTAACTTTACAATTAAGTCTCCTGTGACAGAGCTCACTCCTGTATAGTGAGTCTGGGCTACTCCCCAGAACACTGCAGAAATGTCCCCAAGAGCAAAGAGTCAAAGTTCAACGGTGAGAAATGAAGGCAGTGGCAGGACACACTATACACACAATGTAACTACATTTAATTACAGTACAAGAGACTGTCCACAATGATCTTACATTTTTTAACTTAAAAATATGTCTTCTCCCTTTTCCTTTAGTGGAAACTTTCTTTTCAGCAGCTGGAGCAGATTTGTATTTAGTATTTCTGAGCCGAGCAGACCTCCTGTGAATTTCCTGCTTACTCTGTTACATAAAGAACAAAAAGAGTGAGAAATAAAAACTGGAGAAGGGTTGCTGCCCCAATACATCATCTTATGAGGATCCCAGAGTATGTGCTTTACAAAGACATTTTAAAAATAAGTAAGCGTACTCCATTTCTTCTTTTTAAAACAAAAATGCAGGGTAACACAAACTGGACCAACGAAGATAGGAGTGCCCTAGACAAGCATTTCTAGAACCTCCTAATCACCAAAAAGGTGTGAACTGTTGACGACAGGGGGCAGGAATAGATCTAGGCCAAGGCAAGAACTATTTTGGTGTTTATCATAGAGAAAAACTCTTAACAACTTAAGCTCCCAATGCCAGAGAACGGGTTAAGTTATGGCACCTCCTACAATGCAGTATTAATGCTGCCACTTAAAAGAATGACATTAACAGTTTTACATGATATAATGACAAAATAACCTTTATTAAAAGGGAAAGAGGTCCGGGGCACACAACGTATGCAGCACGATTTCACTCTGGTCTCTGTGTATCCATGTGTTTACTGAAGAGTCTGGATGCTCCCCAGAATATTACAACGGGGTATCTCTGAAAAGCTTCTGCTTTTTTAAACTTTGAATTTCTCACAATAAGAAATGATATTTGGAATAGGCAAAACCAATGAAGGTCTTCTCATCTGAGGGTGTGAAGCGGGCAGCCCGGCCCAGCACAGGCATCGCGATCCGGAAAGGCCTCGACCATCGCCCCCTCCCCGCCGGCCTCCCTCCGGCCGTCTCGCGCCCAGATCGGTCTCCGCCGGCGGGAGGGGTCGGGGGAGCTCACCTGCTTTCCGCCCCCGCCCCCGTTGCTCTGCGGAGGG